TCTTTCCCCTTCCCTTGCCCGGCCACCTCAGAGGTGGGACAGGAAAGGATATAAGAAAACCCCACTAAACGTGGAGTACATTTCGTCAAAGTCTGTGTGAGCCAACCTGCCCCCGGTCACCACGATGTTGACGCCATCCCCTGCCTTCAAGTGCACAATAAGGTGGAACGCCCCCGGGCCCCCACAAGTGTGCGCAGCCCCCTGGGGCCGGTGGTATTCCAGGAATTCTCTCTCGTAGCCGGCCGTGTGCAGCTGTGCCACGCTGGCGTTGGCGACCGAAAGGACGGCTTCCACGTACGTGTCCCTCTCGGGGGTGAGCGTGGCCGTGATCAGGTAGCGCCCATCGTACGGAGCTGTGAAGACCCCTGGGAGGAGGAAAGCAGACACCGTTGTTCACGTGACACCATCACAGCCTTTTGCGACAAGCTGACAACCCGGGTGAAGGCAGACCAGCCTCTGGGTTTGCCCTGGGTGGCCTGGGTTTGGGCTCAAAGTCCTGCTCAGCCTCCCTACGGGAGGCAGGCGCACTCAGGGGCGCAGCCCCTCCGCATACTAAACCCACCCAACGACAGTGACAGTCCCCTTGGCCCACACGGCTCTCTGCACTGACCTGGTCCTCACTGGAGACCCAGCAGCAGAGGGAAAACTGGCCCTTTACTGTGCACACTGGCCTGTTCCCCCTCACCCAGGTTTTCACCGTAGGAAGCAGCCACGCCGATCCTGGCTGCCTCTGGGGAGTTTTCTCTGTCACTGAAAGCACCTCGAGGCCAACCTAGAATCGACTTCACAGGCACAATATCCACAAAACGCCTTAGCTGCCTTCTGGGGAGGCAGGACCAAAAAATCCCCACAAAGTCGGTCATTAATGCAGTAAGAAGAGACACCGAGCCAGGGGTGCAGCCACAGCCAGCCCTCCTCCGGTGGAAGAGCCAGGCTCGCCGCTGGACCAGTAGTACCCAGGTGGCATCCTCGCGCAGCCAGAAGCCAGCTGGTATTTAGACACACGCTCGGGGGCTGGGGAGGCAGGGGAAGGGCTGGTCGGAGGTGGGGGGGGATAAGGTTCGCAGATGTTGCCCATTTGCAAAGCAGCAGCACATGGGCCCACAGCCAGACCCAGTGCTGGCAGGAGTGGCCACTGCCCAAGAGCTCTGGGGAGGGTGCCGGACATGGGCCACTGACCATGGGCTGAGAGCTGAGAAGGAATCTAAGGGGCCTGAGTCTTCAACCTGCCCTGAAACGTGCCAGGCCGCCCAGCTCCCTTGCCCAGCTCTTCTCAGTAAATTTAGAGCCTGGGGACAGACGGGCCCCAGCACTCCGGACACATGACCAGCGTCTGCTCAGGGTCACGCAGAACTCCCTTTACTGAAGACCCATTGGAGAGAGCATGGTTCTGGGCATCCTGGGAACAGGAGAGAAATGTAGGTCATGGTCCCTGTGTGCCGAGAGCACCTGGCCTGTCGGCGTGGACAAGCTGTCCCCATAGCCGAGGCTGCGTGGAGGGCCCCGGGGGAAGCCCAACTTGAGCACAAAGCGAAGCAGCCTTCTCACACACACACACACACACACACACACACACACCCCCGCCTCCAAGCCCGTTAAAAACAGAGTGTGATGCCGAGCTTCAGGCCTATGGGCCTGAAGGCCAGGAGCCTCGTTTTCCCACGCTCTGCAGTTCATTCATTCTGGTGCTCGCTAAAACCCGAGGCCCGCAGTTCTGAGACCCGCGGCCAGGGCGACAACTCACATGTCTGCCCGCAGAGAGCCGATTCCCTCCCAGGGGCCATGCAGAGCCCCGGCCACAGCGCGCACGTGACACCCCGGTCCGCTGGTGCCTGCGGGGGGGGG